ACAGTGCCACGTCAGCAGTGCCACGTCAGCAGTGCCAGGTCAGCAACCATGACGGGACCAGCGCTGGGCTTACCAGGCCAACTGGCCAACGAGTCCATCACCGAGTACCGACAGTGGGTCCAGGCTCAGCTCGCGCTCATTGAGGCCGAGGAACAGCGCCAGGCGGCAGCCGAGGCTGCCCGCCTACAGGCTGAGGCGGCAACGGCAGCTGAAAGGCAGCGGCTTCATGCCGAAGCCGAGGCACACACCAGGGCACGCCGAAAGGAAGCCCAGGAGCTGCTGCAGCGCCATGAAGCAGCCAGCATCGAAAGGCTCAAGTACTGGCACTTTGAACCAAACGGCGACGAGCCGACACCGGARGAGCAACACAAGRAGTTTCTCTCCAARCTCGTGTCACGCCTGTTGTATACTTGCAACTACCAACGGGCCGAACTAGAGAAACAGCACCAAGAGTTGGCAGACCTCCGCCGAATAGTACAGGGCCACGAGGATGCAATACAGGCACTCAATGCCTTTGTACTGGACCTGGAACAGTTTGTACCAGGACCAGATGCTGGTACGTCCAGCAGTGAACCCTCTAGCCGCCAACTAGAGGAACGCGTTGACCACGTAGTAGCGATGCTCGGCGACATCAGTGCTTTCGCTGCACCTACCACCATCAACAGTCAACTGCACACCTTGAAGACCGAGGTCCAGCAGCTGCAGTCGACGAACTCGGAGGGCAATCCTAAGTTGTACAAGATGCCAACCTTCCAACTCGAGAAGTTCGACGACTACACGCATCAGGATCCGGTCCTCTGGTGGGAAGCATTCACGACGCAGCTTCGGATCTTGCCAGTCGCCAAGCACGCATACTTTGGTGCCCTTTTCCTTAACTCAAAGGGCGCATGCCAGACTTGGTTGACCCATCTGGCAGCCACTCACGGCGTCGACGTGGTAGATCTTCGAGACAAGATCACATGGGAGGAGTTGACATGGTTGTGGAAGAAGAGGTTCATCATCGACGACGCACTTGCCCTCGCCATCAACCGCCTCTTCACCATGACCCAAGGCAACACGGCAACACGAGACTGGCTCACGGAATGGCAAAAGATCGCGACAACGCCGGATCTGGACTTGCCATTTACGCATCTGCGCCGAGAGTTCTACAATAGGTCATGTGCTGCACTGAGCCAGGCACTTGGTGATCGCGAGCAGTACTCAACCTTCGCTGAGATCATCGACAAAGCGAGGGAGATCATCAAGACTAATAGGGCGGCTGCACACGAGAAATCAGCATGGCAGCCAACCTATGTGGAGAAGGTAAAGACTGGTCCGCGGCAGCACCATTTTGCTGCAGTCCAATCGGACAGTGAAGACGACCCGGCAGCCACCAAGGCATCAAGTGAAGGAGATCAGGTGGCTGCTGTCCAACCGAGAAGCACCAACAAGTCCCGGAACAATGGGAAGGCGAAGACCGCATCATCGGCTGGAATAGGACAGTCAGCGCCATGGGTCAAGTTTAACTTGACCGAGGCCGAATACAAGTACCGTGGTCGGTACGGCTGCTGCTACTGGTGCAATAGCACCAAGCACAAGACCTCCCTCTGCCAGGACAAGGAGAAGAAGGATGTTCGGCCTCGCAACAACTCGGGAAACTGAGTAGCGCGGGAGGTGAGGCGACTCCACCTCCCACTCCGCCAGATCCGGCCGCCTTGCTAGCGGCCTCCTACACATCTGGGGAGGATGCGAATGTCGCAAGTTCTCGTGTCACTTACAAGGACTATGCTGTCCACTTGGTCCCACCGCTGGACCAACCACTCCACGTGCGACACTCCACCGCATGCACGGTTTCATCTCCATCGGCAACCGATTCGGCAGTTCCGCCATCATTTACCTCAGGGGATTCGTCGATGTGGTCAAGACTTGAAGAGCTCGACCCGTTGACAGTCGCGGACTTCCAGTGGATGCCCGTTCCCCCGACCGGTCGATTGTCAAAACCGCATTACAATATGCTCATGGCACAATTGCGGGAGTATTTGCACACTGCAGTACCAACTCCGTTGATAGACGCCGGAGTAGAGGTTGTCGACCTTCAGGAGTACATCGCGAAGATCGACCGCGAGTTCAAGACACAACGGTACGACGACATTGACGCACCATTGTTGTATGTACGCATTCAGATCGGAGAGGCGACCTGCAGCGCCTTGATCGATTGCGGTGCAACTCGCAACTACATGAGTCAGGACTTCATGGTACGCACCGGCCTTTGCCCACGCGTCAGGAGGAAGTCCCATCCAACACACGTGACGTTGGCCGATGGTCACACGCACAAGTCAATTGACCGGTGCATTGACAACGTCCCTGTGTATTTCGCCCCGCATGCACGCGAGGCCGTGTCCTTCGAGATTCTGGACACTAAGTTCGGCATGATTTTGGGCATGTCATGGCTGCGAAGTGAGGATCACCCGGTGAACTTCTACCGCCGCACCGTTCACGTTCGTGACCGGGATGGAGTACTAGTCCCATGCACGGTGCCTCCTCCTCACCCTTCGATCGGCTGTCACGTGGTGTCCGCCGCAAGTATTCGAGGTTCCATCATCAAGGATGACATTGAGGAGATGGGGGTATGTTTTCTCCACGCCCTCCCGCCCCAGGACACCCCATTGACGGACGCATCATCGGACCCACGCATCACTGAGCTTCTCGCCACTTATAGTGACGTGTTCGAGGCCCTGCACGGAGTAGTACCGGATCGGCCCATCCGCCACGAGATCATCCTCGAGGACGGGGCTGTACCTCCGCGTGGTTGCATCTACCGAATGAGCGAGGAAGAGTTAAGTGTGCTACGGGCACAACTCGACGACCTTCTGGAGAAAGGCTGGATTCGRCCTAGCTCTTYGCCATACGGTGCRCCTGTTCTCTTCGYCCGGAAGAAGAACAAGGATTTGCGGTTGTGCATCGACTATCGTAAGCTCAACGCGCAGACGGTCAAGAACGCCGGCCCTCTCCCACGCATCGACGATCTCCTGGAGCGACTGGGCGGCGCCAAGTTCTTCTCCAAGTTGGACCTCAAGTCGGGTTATCACCAACTTGAGATTCGCCCGGAGGACCGATACAAGACCGCGTTTAAAACGCGATATGGGCATTTCGAATGGCTGGTCATGCCGTTTGGCCTTACGAATGCCCCAACCACATTCCAGGCGGCTATAACATTGGAGTTTCGACACATGCTGGATCGTTTCGTACTCAGCTACCTCGACGACATCTTGGTATACAAGTGTCTACTGACTACTACCTCCTGCAGGGCGGGCCAGCCCTTTATAGTGCTGGCCCGTGCAGGAGGCTGGCCGTGCCAATGCCTCCCTGGCCTAGACCCTGCGGAAGCTTCCAGGCAAGAGCCTGGAAGTTCCCTGAAGTTTCCCTGTAGGGAAACAGGCTGGGGCCTGTAGGCCTTGTCAGAAGGAAGCTTCCAGGCAAGAGCCTGGAAGTTTCCCTGTAGGGAAACAGGCTGGGGCCTGTAGGCCCTGTCAGGAGGAAGCTTCCAGGCAAGAGCCTGGAAGTTGCCTGGAAGCTTCCCTGTAGGGAAACAGGCTGGAGGTCCGGGACGGGCCCTGCAGGGCCCGTGTGGCTGCACAGTATGCCACACCCCCCCCCTCCTTGAAAGACCGAGCTTACCTACGAGGGCGAAGATGTCTGTCTGAGGGAGGGACCACAGTCCGGGTGGGAGGGGCAGGTCGTGGAGGTCCCTTGGCTAACCTCTGTCGCTCGTAGTGAGCGTAGATCAGCGGTGTGTACGCTTTCAAATCTGCTCCTGAAATCCACCGAGTGTCGTCGGGATCGCATGCTTTGAATGTAACTTTATACTGACGCGGCTTGCTGCCATACTTGCGATCTGAGATGACGCGGTCAACCTCCTGATGACCATCCATAGAAGGAGGGTCCTGCGATCGTCGACCCGGGAAGTCATCGCTCTTAGCTGGTGTATATGTTGCCAGCTTTGACGCATGAAAGACTGGATGAACCGTCAGATGCTCAGGAATGTCGATCACAAATGAAGGGCCATCGGGCTCATCGCCCGCGGCTGATGTCACTGTCCATGGTCCAAACCACTTAGGGAGTAGTTTGCGTGAGACATCCTGTTCCAATGCAAACTCTTCCGAGGAGACCCAAACTCGATCTCCGGCGCGGATGGGACATGGCACGCGGCGCCTGTTGGCTTGCTGCTGCATGCGGACTTGAGCCTTTTGCATGTTTGTGCGGGCTTGAGCCAGCAATTCCCTGTACTTCCGGACGGAAGCAGGAGAGCAAGCGGCGTCAATGTTAGCTGGTCGAGGGAGGAGAAGATCAGCGAAGATATGGCTTTTCCGTCCACCGTGGTGCAACTCGAATGGAGTCACACCGATCGCCGGGTGCACTGAAGTGTTGTAGGCGAACTCGATGTCGAGGAGGCGGTCAACCCAATCTTTCTGGTCCGGACGGATGAGCGTACGAAGCATCATTTGAGCGGTCTGATGTGCCCGCTCCGTTTTCCCGTCTGTCTGTGGATGCCTAGCCGAACTGGGTTTCATCGTCGTGCCGGACTCCTGCATGAGAGAGGTCCAAAAAGTCGACATGAAACGAGTGTCGCAGTCGCTGACTATGTCCTCGGGTACACCGTGGCCACAAATCCAACCGGTGTGCAAGAGGCGTGCAAGCTCGGGAGCCGTGGAGTAGTACTTGCAAGGAAGAAAACGTGCGTACTTGCTCAATCGGTCCACAACCGTGAGGACGCCGTCGTGCCCGAGCTGGTCTCGAGGAAACGGACCGGTGACATCCATAGCAATGGAGATACCGGGTTCCCGGGGGATAGGCATCGGGCGTAACTCGCCATAGGGATTGCGGTTGCGGGGTTTGCTGCGTCGGCAAACTTCGCAAGAATCGCAATACCGCATGACATCGGAAATGAGGTCGGGCCATCGGAATTGTTGTCGAAGCCGTGCAATCATGCGATTGACTCTGAAATGGCCGGCGAGTCGCGAATCATGATACTCGGCGAGAAGGCGAGTCCGAAGACGGCGGTCGCGTGGGACACACAGTAAGTCCTTGCCTCTCGAGTGGAGGAGCAAGTACCCGTCGGCAATGCGATAGTGGCTGGCCGGCGGGTGATCCGAAGATAGCTGCGCATACAACATAGCAAACTCTGGGTCAGACTGATAGCCCCTGATGAAGTGTCGCTGGAGGTCCTCGTCGAACGCGAAGGCGTGATGCGTCATAGCGCAAAGATCAGGTCGTCGCGAAAGTGCATCTGCTGYGCGATTGGAGAGGCCGTCAACGTGTTTCGGTGTGAAGTCAAACTGGTCCATGAAGTACATCCACCGTCCAATCGTGCTGCTCACCGTGTCCTGCGTCTTGTAGTAGGTCAATGGGTTATTGTCCGTGACCCATGTGAACCTACGACGCCCAAGAAGGAAGTGCCACCATCGCTTGAGAGCCATGACGAACGCAAGCAGCTCCTTCTTCCTTGCATCATCCAGAGAATTGATGGGAGGCACTTTGTGGATGAAATACTCCACAGGGTGCCAATCCTCGCCGTCGTGCTGCTCCAAGACTGCCCCAATGCCGTAACCGGAAGCGTCAGTCGTCACTCTCGTAGGCAGAGTGGGGTCGTAGATGCTAAGGACGGGTGCCATGAGCATGGCCGTCTTGAGTGCCTGGAAAGCCTGGCGCGCGTCGTCATCGAATACGAATGGCACCTTTGGCGATTGTAGTCTCGTCAGAGGTGCGRCAATCCTTGAGTATCCGGTGATGAAACGCTGATAATAGCCTGCCAACCCCATGAATGAACGAACGTCCGTGGTGTTGGTGGGCTCGGGCCATACGCGGATGACCTCGATCTTGTCCGCAAGCGGACGGATGCCTTGCGGCGTCACATAGTGTCCCAAGTACTCCAGCTCTTGCCGCGCGAATTTGCATTTGTCGCGGTTGGCTTTGTACTTGGTCTGTCGTAGCCATTCCAGAACGGTGCGCAGGTGAATTTCGGCCGCAGAACTCAGGAGGAGCGCTGCAGTAGTCTTCAGCGCTAGGAAGTAGTGGTAGCGCTAGGAGTAGTCTTCGGCGCTGGGCGCCATAGCCATAGTGGTCGTCTTCAACGCTGGGCGCTATAGGGCAGGGTAGCAGTATCGGAGAGAGACACTGGCGGAGGCCAGTGGTACTTACCTGTGGCACCATCGCTCCAGCTCCATCATCGGTGTACCTGCATCAAGACGCCAGTTTTACAGGTTAGTATTGGACTGAGAGAGAGAGAGAGAGAGAGAGAGAGACCTTCTTCTTCCTCTTCTAAGTCCACCATCTCTTCTTCCCCTCCCGCTGCCTGCCTCTCAGCATCTATGGGCTACGAGATGGAGCTTTGACATGGGACATGACGATATTGTCATCAGACTTGATTCCGGGATACAGACATTCGTTGAGGATTATTTGGGACCTGTGACGCAGACTTGGAGTTGACGATATCTCCCATCTTCTCCTCTCCCTCTGTCTCTTCCCTTCCCCCTTCGTCTGTGTATGTTGGGGTCTGGCGCTATCTATTCKGTGTGAGYGCCAGCCCTTCACACCACTKTAYGATGATGATAAATGTCGGGACTGTACTGCAACATTGATTGAGTCGGATCATTGATAAGTCTTCCGCTCGCCATCTTGTACTTTGAAATGAAAGGTCGGTCCTTGTTCTGTTTTGCATGATCTAGTATGCAACACCTCCCCTTCTTGCCCTCACCTCCCTCATCATGGACAGTGTCTCAACCCCCGGTTTTGTCTCCGCACCCCTCTTCCCTCTTGCTACTTTGCTTACATCATTCAATCTGCAGAGAAATTTTATTTAGCCATTTACTGGAACATTTCAATTTACATAGCTGGCCGTTCGATTGGTTAGTATCTGCGGAAGGGTCGTGATCTTCCAAAGGCACTCCTGGGGATCAAGAGAGGACAGCATAGGAACTGAGCCATTTTACGCTAGGGGGCTGCCCTGTGCTGGGGTACTCATGGGGAATTCAGGTTAGGCTAGGGGGATTGGTAGGGGCATGGAGAGGAAACAGAGGCAGTACATGATGGGCTATTGCAGTAGTCCATGGAAGTTGGTTTTATGTTTTTTTTTTTTTTTGTTTGTTTGTTTGTTTGTTTGTTTGTTTTTCAGGGAGTTGGTCATTTGTTTTGCTTTCTTTTTGTTTACTTTTTTTTTTTTTTCTCCTTAAAAACGGGCCCAGTGCCCAAGGCAAGAATACAATGAACACAAGGCCGCTTGGTGTCCGACTGCACCCAGCAAGCAGAGCCAGTCCCCTGTGAACAAAAAAGTTAACAAAGTCTTACCAGAGCCACTCTACAAATGTATTGAATTTCTAAGAAAATGGCAATTCCTCCAAAGACCAAAACCCCAAAAAATAAAGCACAACTAGAAAGAAAAGAGCCATGATTGAAATAGAATGCAAAAAGGTGCCTTGAGCGGAAATCTCCAGTACAGGCGGCCGAGACATCTGGGCCACGGCTGAGATGTCTAGGCCACGCCCATGGGAAAACGACTGGTACCGGTACCGGTACCTCCCGTTTTTGTGAATTGTTGAACCGGCAGGCCGTCGAAGGCACCATTTACTTTTTTTTTTTTCAGTTTCGAACTGCTCTCTGCCTGAACTTGCAGTGTACTGTTATTTCTGCAAATTCGGAACTCTGCACTGGTCACAGGCGCAATTGTCTAGAAAAAAAAGAGGAAAGTCAGGGCAGCATGTGTGGCCGGGGTCGCTGGCATAAATTCATCCAAGTGGAACCGTCACAGCAATGTGGCAATGGCTGGCAGCGTTCAAGCAGCGACTTCCAGAAGTACTCGTGGTTTGAGGTGGTTGCAGACTCGCAGTGTTCTCCTATTGGTCAGGGACGGTGAGTATAACGAACGTGGACAGGAGAGGTCTTAATATCTTGTTGTTCCCCTTGAACGCTAATGCACCTGGTCCAGCAGTGTATGTGAACGGCGGCAATGACGTCTGCATTGACTGTGCAATTCTATGAATTTCTCTGGCAAGTTTGGCAGAGAATTTGGAGACAAATGCAGATACCATAGTCTGCCCCGATATCGCCGTTGTACCTTCAAGTTGGCTTTGATAATCGAACCCTTGGGCACTAAAACCATAGTCCACCTCCAGTACATGCCCCCAGCCTTGCAGAAAAAAAGCAACTCGTCGCCACCGCACTGTTGCAATGGCTCGGCCTGCCCGGGCCACAATGGCTGGGAGCGCCAGCCAAAGAAGAAAAGTGTACCGCTTGCGGTTCTGAAAAGCTTGGTGCGCACTAAGTAAGGCGCTTCCAGGCCCAGGTGTACTGGTGGTTTAAGAACAAAGGAAAGCAAATTTAAAGAAGAAAAGTTCAACTGGGTGAATCACTGAATCAGCCTGGCAGACTGTGGCAGTGCAGTCCACAGGCCGCCGACCAGAATACTAGGCACAGAATGATCCATCTTGATATGGCTTTATGTGGCACTCGTGTCTCAAAATGAATGGTACAACTGCAACTTTTCAAATTGTCAAGGGGGACAAAACAAAATCCAGGTGAAATCAGATCAATGCCATGCGATTGGATACCATGACGTTAGGAGCTAGTTCCTTTCTGCAGAAAAAAGTGAATCCGACGATTCTTCAATCAAGGGACACCCTGGTTAGGCAGATTCTGAACATCGTTTGGGGAAAGAGAGTACCTGTAGGTCCTGGGATAATCAACAGTCTACGTCGTGGTGGGCAGGCGGAACCTCTTAAGCCACCAGTATCTTTCCCAGCTATTTTGCCAACTTGAAGATGCGCCGGGTATCGCGGGGGCCAAGCGGGGAGGGCCGCCATTGATAAATCAAATCGGCGGCCCGTTTTTTTCGTTTCAGTCTTCTGGAACTGCCCGTAGCCGGCATATGGGAAAGGTACAGGTGGTATAATGGACAGGTTAGGCAGAGCCTCTTCATGGATGATTGGATACGTTAGGCAGAACCTCTTCATGCATTCGATAAGTTCGGCAGAAGATTCATTGGACAAGTTACGGCAGAAGATTCATTCGGCAGAAGTTAGGCCGAACCTCTTGACGAATGGTCTGCAGTAATGTGTGCAGTTGTGTCAGAAAGTTCTCAGTATTGAGGAAAAAAAGGGCTCTCTCCTATGTTCACCCGAATACAATGTATGGTCATTTAAAGCTGTATTTGGGCAGCTTTGAGTCTCGATACGGAAACCATGACGGTAGGTTGTGTTCCCCTGAACAAATTTACTGTAGTGTTATCATATCATGAAAGCTGTATTTGGGGCAACTTCCAGTAGGCTGTGTTCCCATGGACACAGTAGTGTTATCATCATTGACTGGCAAAGGGAAGTGCAGCAAGTCCCGTTCTTAAGCCACCACAAAGACTACCTCCATGCCTCTTTTCCCCCAGGCAGAGGTGTACTGTGCTGCGCGCACAGAGAAGGCAACAAGCTGGGCTGTAGTGAAATTTTATGTTTTTGAATGGCACAACCAGCCAAACAGATCTGGGTGTGGCCTAGACAGCTCGGCCGTGGCATAAGCAGGCGCGGAAAAAAAAAAAAAAAAAAAAAAAAAAAAAAAAAAAAAAAAACTCACAGGCACGGGAAAAAAAAAGAAAAAAGACAAAAGTCGTAGGGCCCGGCGCGAAACACACACACACACACACACGAGTGGCCGCCTGATTTCGCCGCTTCCGTACTTGGCTAGAAGTGCACAAAGCCGTAGCAGTTCAGAATCTTTCTGCTTTTTGCAGTTTCTAACTGCCCTCCCTCAGCCCAGACAGAGCCGCAGTGCCCTGTTACTTTTACTGTTACTGTAACTGTTACTGTTATTCCTTCCTGCGAATTGGGAACTGTGCAGCAGTCACCCGCGCAGTTATTTCTTAATTAAGAAATGGTGAAAATTCTCCAAACAAATTACTAAAAGAAAAATTTTAAGCGAGGAAAAGTTAAGCCACCTTTTACAACCAGGCCTGGAGGCGCTGCAGTGCGCGCCAAGCTATTCTAAACATTTTTTTTTTATTTTTTTTTTTCCGAAAACAGGCCCTGTCGGTGTTAGAGGTGCTGGTACGAGCAGACACCACAAGCACCTGGGGAGAGGCTCCATCTATTGGTGGGGAGCATCACCTGCTGGAAAACGGGTCCAACGTCCCATGTACAAACTGAATTTGGAATACATCAGAAAAACCAGGGGAAGTTCCTGCCAGCATTGCCATCTGCAGTGCACTTTTTTTCCCGTTTGCCTGTCTCTGCCAGCCATTCTGGCCCAGTAGCCCCTAGCGGTAAATTTTTTTTTTTTTTTTTTTTTTTTTTTTTAAGAGTCTTCTTCCATTACATCCACATCAAATGAAGCGGTGAAATCTTCGGAGTAGGTAAGGAACAAATTGCTGCAAGGTTGACGCCGACAGGCCGTGTACTGGCTCTGTCATAAGGATGGTATTCAGGGCAACTTTCTAGCGAGATACATGCTTATTGACCCTGCGTTCTATTTGACTCAGGCACAGGAAAGGAGACCGCAGCAACAAGTACATATGGTTCAGACGGCCTAGTACTTCTGTGGAGACCATTGTACTAAGCGGACTATGAAGAACCACACACCAGCATGATACACGTACACATACAAACACCCGCACACAACTGAACAACTGACACAACCTTCTGATGAGTCAGTTAGAGTCCCAGCTAAACAGTCTGGCACAGTCATGCTTAAGTTTTTCTTTTTGTGGAGATGGGCATACTAAGCAAATATGACAGCATACACGCGCACACAGACGCTACCACACATGCACACACACACATGGATGCTTGCACACATACATACATACATACACAGGCGCATACCTACGCACACAGGCATTCTGACAGGCATGCACATCTGAGCATGTACATGCACGCATGACATTGCAATCTTTAAATGCAGACACACACACACACACACACACACACACACACAGGAGGTGATGAAAATCCATTGTGTCATCCCAGCCAAAGTCGTGGCAGAATTGAGTTTACCTCCAACATAATCTTACAGGTTTTTCGTTCTTGAACCCAGGGCCTTCAGAAGTCGTTGGGATTGCCCTCGACCTCCTCTCATCAGGATTTTCAACATGTACAGTAACTACAGTAACTGACGACTGTACTTGGGCGAAGGGATGAGGGAGGGATTCTGAATCCTCTCTCTACTCTATAGGACAAAAGAAAAAAACCACCGAGGAGGAGTTACTAAGGGCATATTCACAGCAGAAATTTCTGGAAGTTTTGCGCACTGGCTGTTTTGGTCCAACATCAAGAAACTGCGTTAAGTTTTCGTTCAAATTCTAATATTTTGCGGGCATGACGAATTTCAAATTGAGTTTTTCTTGTTTTGGCGATTTGGGCCAGATTTTGGATGTATCACGGATGCCATACCAACAATTTTTTTCAATTTTAACTCAACCACAATGAAGAGGCAATCCCGCTATACAAGGCACCCACAGATAGATAGATAGACACAGACAGCCACACACACACGCACACACACACACACACACACACACACACACACACACACACACACAGAGAGAGAGAGAGAGAGAGAGAGAGAGAGAGAGAGAGAGAGAGAGAGAGAGAGAGAGAGAGAGAGAGAGAGAGAGAGAGAGAGAGAGAGAGAGAGAGAGAGAGAGGGGAAAATTGTGGCACGAGGGAAGATGGGTATGAGAGCAACCTGTGCTAATCAACAATGGTTCACCTGGACAACCGAATGGCGGATTTCTGTGGGTGACTGTCATCTGTCCAGTATCCCTGGGCCACCTCTACAACAACATGGGCTTAAAAAATAAAACAACAAGGTTGCGTATAGCCATAAGTGAAACGGTTTTCACCTGCTAGCAGTAGCGAATGCAGATCCCAGGGCTCGATCCCTAGTTCTGACCTTACCTGTGTACAGTATCGAGTTGACCCCTGAGTGTTTGAACCCGTGACCTGTGTTTTGTTAGTTGTTGTTTGTCTGTCGTAGGACTGTGCAGATGAAGGGATTCGATCTGTAGGTCTGTCGAGTAGGGGTCACAGCTCTGTAGAGGTCGTAGCTATAGGTCTACTGAAAGGTCAAGGCCGTAGCTGCGACAGCCCTGAAAGGTCAAGGTCGTGGCTGCTACAGTACCCGAAAGGCCAAGTCCACAGACTTCCGGAAGGTCCCAAGTGGCCTTTCGGAGTGGGCTCACGATAGGCAGAGGCAAGTGGACAAGTGGTAGAGCCAACCTCAGTACGTTGGCAGTGCGACTGCAGTGAGTCTGCGGTGCAAACCCATGCAGTCAGCGGTACCGGTCCAGTCCAGCAAGTACCCTGAGGGACTGTGTGCACCGTGGGCCGATGCAAAAGGGCAGACCAGCGAGTTACAGAAGAACAAATCAAGAGGCAGCGCCCAGCCATTCATTCATTCCTGTGTGAGCAATGCGGAAGCGCTGCCATAGCGACTTGTGCGAGGTGGTCTGCAGTGAGCCCGAGGACGAAGAGGGTGAGAAGGAGCTTAGCCATAGCAATAGGGGTAGCAGCGGCCATAGCCGCCATAGCTATTAGAAGGGAGTAGCATGTGTGTGTGTGTGCATGTACAGCGTGACGCGTGTGGGATATCCAGGGTGATCCGGTGTGTGAACAGCAGCGTCATGTGAGTGATGAACAGAGATTTGTATAGGYGCTGATGCGCCATAGCCATCTGAAGTGAGATTGTATCTGAACTGTGTYCGTGGTTACCATATCTCTGAGTTTTGAGTGGACGCTTGTCGCCAGTTTGCTGCACAACCTGTTTGCATGCATGTGAGGTRTAAATGAAAGTGAGTCTGATTGCCCTGGTATCGGAGCTGTTACCCACTATCCCACGCGCCACAAGGCGCCAACTTGCCGTCAAGTTGTAGAGCGAAGTGAAGATGGAAGTCCTCCATAGCTGCGCTGCAGAGAAGTAACGTGTACCTGCGCACAAGACAAGCACGAAGAGAGAGAGAGACACAGAGAGAGAGAGAGAGAGACAGAGAGAGAGAGAGAGAGAGAGAGAGAGAGAGAGAGAGAGAGAGAGAGAGAGAGAGAG